TATATATTTTTTTAAATATGTCTACTGTTTTTTATTAGGTTTAAGTTTTTAGTTTTAGTTATTTTAGTGCTTCAAGTAGTGCTTTGTATATATCATTTTTATATTGTATTTTATTTCAGTTAATGTTGATTTAACGTTTTGGTTTCATTCCAGATAATGTAGATTTTTATTTTAATTAATGATTTTTTCATGGTTTTGGTTTTAGTTTTAGTTAACAATAATAACCCTGGTTATAAACAACTTTTTTTACCAGCTGTAATAAATTCATTTATTATAATCATTGAGACACCGATTAGAAGTGACAAAGATCCAGTGTTATTTTAGTATTATTTATTCATATTTTTAACTTTGCTTTTGTTCTGATATTCAAAGTTTTCAGTTTCATTTTAGGTGATGTTTTAGTAATTTTTTATGTACTGTTGTGTATTTAAAAACAAAAAATTCTGTATAACTTTAATTAATTTTTTTAATTCAGTTTTAGCTTTAGTCATTGTAGTATTTCAACTTCAGCTCATTTTATTTCAGTTAGTTGCCAAGGCAGCATTTCTAATTTTTAAGTGTAATATTTGTATCTAATACTTGAATTTTATTTCTGCTTTATTTCAATTACTGAAAATTATTATTAATAGTCTTAGTTTACGAAAATGTTATAGTACTATAATTGAGAAAATATTTTTAAATATTTCTATTAGGGTTGCAAAGGGGTGGAAAATTTCCGGTAAATTTCCAAAAATCCTTGGAATATTCCAAAAAAAATATGGAAAATAAATAACAGTTTTTTATGGTTTTAGTTATATTTAACTACTGTCCGCGGCGCCCAGCTACGTCGTGTTATACTTGTAAGAATTGTTATTAAATAATTGTAATTATTTGTAATGATAATCCAATGAGCTGCTTTGTGATATCACAAAGCCCGGAAAACAAACGCTGTAGTCCAAACGAGCCGTTCGTTGTAGTTCTTGGAAAAGGGATTTAAAAAAAACGAAATATGTCCCTTTGGAGTGGACTTTGAGATTTGTGACTTTCTAGATATTTTTTATGCCCAAACATACACACTACACACTGACTAAAATTAAAAAAGTGAAAAAGCATAATAGGACCCCTTTAATATTTAGTATTTTTGTCATGTTTTTGGATTGACTCGGACCTAAATTGAACTTAAACGGGTGTATATTTGTCTTTGGCTTGTGGTTTAGGCCATTAAAGAAAGGCTGCTGAAAGTTGAAGTCTAAATTGTGTTTGTTTAGCTGAGCGTTTTGGTAAGAAACTAGAGGAACTGAGGAGAGAGCGAGCCACGCTCAAGCCTGGTTTGCCGTCCAGACATCCGGAGCTCACTGGATTTCTGCAGCGTCTCAGGACGGCCGTTCACAGCGTCATCCACAGGACAGACACACACTGCAGGTTTGAACACATTAAAAACTCACGAAAATATTCAGAAATATTATTTCTATTTCAAATAAGTGTTTTCTATGTGAATATCTGTTAAAATGTAATTTATTTCTGTGATGTAAAGCTGAATTTTCAGCATCATTACTCCAGTCTTCCTTCAGAAATCATTCTAATATGCTGATTTGCTGCTCAAGAAAAATTTCTGATTATTATCAGTGTTGAAAACAGTTGTGCTGCTTCATGTTTTTGTGGAAACATTTTGTGGAAACAGTGATGCATTTTATTTTTCAGGGTTCTTTGATGAACAGAAAGTTCAAAAGAATTTGAAATAGAATCTTTTGTAACATTACAAATGTCTTTACTGTCACTTTTGATCATTTTAATGCATCCTTACTGAATCAAAGTATTGATTTTTTTGGTGCTAACACACATATCTATCACATATCTACACATATATCGTATCTAAACAAAGTATTTCCTATATATCCATATGAATTGAATCTATTTTTCACAACTGAATTGTTATTTCTCATTTCTAAATCTGACTTGATCTTCTCTGGTACTACAGTATGCATCACTATATTGTATTTATTTGAGGGCTGGTTAGTCAATAATAACCCGTTGAAACAGGAAAGCACACAGTGCTGAGTTTATCATCGTACAGTATGTTTACGCATCATTCTGTTTTAATTTTAATTTTAAAGTTTTAGTAATTTTTTTTTCCATATTTCATTTCATTATTTATTATTATATATATTTTTATCTAATGATAATGATATATTTCACAATGTAGTTTTTTAAAAATAAGATCTAAGATGGTGGAAAATTTCCGGTAAATTTCCAAAAATCCTTGGAATATTCCAAAAAAAATATGGAAAATAAATAACAGTTTTTTATGGTTTTAGTTATATTTAACTATGATAACCCTGGTGTTCAATAATAACACATTTCTAGTCATGTTTTGCAGTGGCTGATTATAAATAAATTTTTTTCAAACAGGCAAAATGGTGAATTGAGTGACGATCAGGGATCAGGCAGCTCTCAGAGTCAACCTCGAACACGAGAGAAGCTGTTAGAGGAAAAACAGAGGATTCAGGTGAACAGAAATATATGATCATCACTGAAATATGAATAGTGACAGCTTGTCACTTGATGTTTAACCTGTAGAATATTTGACTACAGTACATAAGCATCAATAAGCCTTTGTTGCATGAATGTTTAACATGCACCGATACAGATTTTCATCTAATGGTTCTGGATCTAAACCCTTTAAATGGCAGAAATAATGTTATCCTTGCAGAAACAGGCTTTTGACTATCAGCATGAAATCTTGTTGCTCGTTCTGGCTTGAGACCATATGAGCGATCTGTTGTTGATTTTAGCTCAGTAATAGGTTAAGGGTTAAATATGGGTTGTGCTTCTTCAGAAGGAGATGTGTGGTCTTCAGCGGAGGCTGGAGGAGCTGCGGGAGCAGAGCAGAGCTTTGGAGGAGCAGCTGGAGCTGGAGGAGCCCGTCCTGAGAGCCTGCGATTCGACTCAGCTGCGGCTGATGGGTCAAGTGCTGGAGGACATGATCACCTCTGAACACCGGGCCCAGATCAGCGTGTCTCCACCCGCGGAGATCGTCAGGTGAGGGCAAACAGAGCAGCAAAATGTGGAAAAATGTGAGGTCTCATATCTCATTTACACACACTCTAAAAAATGCTGGGTTAAATACAACCCAGTGCTGGGTAAAATAGGGACAAACCCAGCAATTAGGCTGTTTTGACCCAGCGGTTGGGTTAAATGTTTAACCCAACCTTCTGGGTAGTAACCCAACCGCTGGGTCAAAACAACCCAATTGCTGGGTTTGTCCCTATTTTACCCAGCACTGGGTTGTATTTAACCCAGCATTTTTTAGAGTGCACATTCAAACCTGCACGTCGCTAATGGTCAAGACACAAGTAAGAGCATGATGCGTTTTGAGGCACCGTGGCTGAAAAAAGTGCAGAGGTTTGAGAGATAAAATCATGCAGGTTTGGAAAAAGTCAATGTCAATGATTCCTTTAACCTCCTAAAATCAATATAACTCGTAGATGATTGATTCTGTAAAACAGCAGTAACAGCGTTATGTTCAAAACCATTCATTTAAAACAATAAATGGCAACACTTTATTTTAAGGTGGCCGTGTTACACGTTACATGTACTTACTATTATAATAACAATTAATTATGCATAATTACATAACCCTAAGTAACCCTAAGCCAAACCCAAATCCTAACCTATATTATAAGTACATGTAGTTAAGTAATATTACTCAGTACTTATATGTATAATTGCAATGTAACAAGGACATCTTAAAATAAAGTGTATTATTTGTTGTTATTATTATTGTCATTATTGATAATAACAAAACACCAACATTAAAAAATAAATAAATAATCATTATTATTAAAGAATGATGATGATTATTATTATCATCAATAACAACAACAATAATGATAATATAAATATTTATTTCCGTAATATTTAATATTGATTGATTATTATTTTATTACTATTAATGATGATTAATATTATTATTGATATTAATAATAATGATGATTTATGATTTACTGTTGATTTAGTTTTATTATTAATATTATTTTTGATAATAATATTTGTATTTCTATTTTCTGTTTATAATTAAGAAATCTTTTTATATTTAATGGTATTTATTTAAATATATTATAATATTTAATATATGCATACTAATTACATATATTTATTATTATTATTATTATTATTATTATTGATGTACATTTATATTAGCTGTACATTATATCACATGTGTCCGTATAGCTATTTTTCAATAACTTGTGATGTGGCTTATTCAGTCAGGTTTAAGATCCAGAGATCTGTTTTATAAACAGCATTATGCCGTCAGGGTTAGTAATGAATTATAAGTGGAAGCTTGAGTATATTATCTGATACTTTTGTGATGGCATCAGTAAGTGACAGTAATATTAAAATCTCTGTTGTTTCTGAGCACTTAGCTGTAATTTTGAACAGAAAGCGACAGGTGATCGTTTAAAGATGTTAGATGTGCTAATCAGTATTCACTAGCGTTGACATTTGAGACTGACGTGGTTCAGTTAAATCTTCTCTTCAGTGGATTTAGTTTTTGGAGGAGATTCAGGGAGACGCTCTGTGAAAAACAAAGGTCATCTCTAGCGGCGATGAAAGGTCTGCCTCTGAGCAGAGAAATATTGAATTCTAGATTGCATGACTGTGTTTGGTCTCTCACAGATTGATTTTGATGCATATGTAGATTTATTGGAGGTATGGTGCAGATTGAGGTCATAACATTGAGCCCAGCTAAACAAACCCCGCTGAGAGATTGATTTATTTTCTCGTGCACTGAGGGCCAGTTTTAAAGCGAGTTTTGAGGAGAAGCAGCTGAGTCCACATGGATTCTCCATGCAATTCTCTCTCTTTTATTGTATTTTTACCCGGCCCTTCTGGAAATGAGACACACTTTTCAGCACGGTTATGAATTTATATTGCTTTCAGGCTCCACAGAGTTAATGGTTTCAGATGCTGGTGTGGATGAATATCATCATTTTTTATTTAGTTGTAATAATAACCCTGAATCACAGTATATATTGCTTCGATATTGCTTGCTAACTTGTATTTATTAGTAGTGTTTGCTAAGTCAAGCATCATTATTATTATTCCTCAAATTTGGCATTATTTTTTAATGTACAATTTATGACTTTACTGTTCAAATCTAATTTTCAGAATCACTGATATTTATAATTGACTTTTATTTCCAGACTTCAGGAGCAAGAACGAGCGCTGAGTTTATCTGTCAAAGAGGCAACAGCTAAAGTAAGTCCACATTTCAATCACATATTAATCTTCTGTTCTTTCCCTAGGCATTTTATTTTATTTTATTAAGATTCTCTTTACAAAAAAATTTTTGATTAAAAAAAATATATAAAAAAGTGTGGCTCAAATGTATGTTGTATTTAATTTTTTTAATTTTAATTTAAATTTTATTTTATGAAAATCTCTTAAAAAAAGTTTGTGGCAAAAAATGTTTGTTGTATTAAAGATTTTTATTTTAGCCAGTGTACTAACCTGTCAATATTAAATCTTATTAAATATAATTTCACCTTCAGACTGAACAATCCTGTTATTGCTTTAAATATTGTTGCTGTTATGTGTAAGTTGGGTGAGATGTGTCTAGTTTCATTCACAACCTCATAATGCCAGAATGCCAGGTTTATGTACTTGTTTTAAGCATAAACCTAATTAAATTTAAACCATAAGTGAAAGTGCCAATGAAACAAGACAACAATTCTCTGAGATCTCAAAATCTCAGGTAAATTTGTGCCGTTTCTTGTTTTTTACTGTAAAACAAGAATAAAAGATACTGACCTGGAAGTGTATAATGGAATAACATACTATCACACTGTTGGAGATACTGTATCCCACATAGGGATGGGTACCGAAACCCGGTATGTAATCGGTCCCGGGGCTAAATTATGAAAGACCGGAGTATCGATAAGCTCTGACGTTAACGGTTCTGCTATCGGTACTGGAGAAATTAATAAAACACACATACATTTATTATTGTTATATATACATTATCTTGCAAATTAGCTAATTTTATTTTTTTTTATTTCGATTTTGGTTACTAAGGATTATACAAAAGAAGACATGAGGTAAAGCTATTAAAAACTAGCTGCGTTTCGTCTTGCGCAAATTCTTTCCCTTCACAGCGGTACGCATTCGTTCCTCCCTAAAACCCAAACTTAATGTCAGAATCAGTTTAGTCGGTGATTGTTGTAAGATGCCGTCTTTACTGTTGCTAAATTGCGGGACATGTTTGATAATAA